CAGAGCATCACATGAAATTTTGCCGATGGCACTGTTTGATAGAAAACTAGCAGAGAGAAAGGAGAAACTAAAGATTCGCACGGTGTGCTGGTGAACATGTTAGCCCTGGAAAGCGTAATAGTGTGTTCGTTCCTCACTACAGACACCTGCGGTCAGGGGTTTTGCAAATTTCTCGGCATCGTTGTGGTTGTTTCACACATGATACCCTACCGTGCTAAACTGTAGTAGGCAACAAATAAAAAGTTGTAATTTCAATCTTAACCTTTTTATTTACTGCCTATTCTTTTTAACGGCAGGGTATGTTGCGATGTATAATTACTATAATGCTGAGGGTGATTGCTGATGGCAAAAGATCGATAGAACTAGCTGAGAGACAGGCGAAACAAAGGACCCGCATGGTGTGGTGGTGAACGCGTTACTTCTTGGAAAGGACAATAACGCGTTCGTTCCTCACCACAGACACCTGCGTTCCTGAGATTTTGCAAAAATCTCAGCATTATAGTAATTGTGATTTCATTTATACTATATTCGAATTGGGTTCCAGGTGGCTAGATGTACCTAAAAACCCTATTAAAATTAACGGATATATTATACTTGAAATAGAATTCAAGCTTGAAAAACTCTATCGAAGTTAATGATTTTGATAAACTAGATTTTTTATAACATTAATTGTTCACTATGTTCCTGTCAAGCAAACACGAGGTGTTAGCAGACTCTGTTACGAAAAATCCGTCGTTTCAGTGGATTTTGTCTCCCCAGAGCGTCGAAAGATCAAGTTGAGTAAGACATAATCAGATCAACAACTCCATAAGCAAGTAACGCCTCTTATTTGCTCAACAATAACACGGAAAATTATTTAGCAACTGCAGAGCTTAGTAGGAAATCGGCTGTGGGTATTAAATTGTTCAATCTACCATAATTACTTAGTTGATATTTCAACGGCCCGTCCTCACTGGTTGTGCTGGCTCCAGCGTAATCACCACTTTTCAGAGATTTGATGGTTATGCCACTGTGGTTTTCTGGAGTCTCGAGGTCAGCCTGGTTAAAGTCTGCTTCAGGTCTTCACCACCACAGGCAGTCGCAGTCCTTGTGGATAAGACGGAGATTTGTCACCATGCGACTTTGATACCAAGACGGTGGTGTTTCCTGGTATTGGTTTACTGTTAGCCAGGTTTTCTGATAGAAACGCCGGAATCCTTCTCAGTTTGGGAGACTCTGCCAAGAGGATGAATCACTCCGCTGTACATCGCAGTCCGACTCCCAGGAACACCTCCCAGCCACGATGAAGCGATAAACCGTCGGGAGGAAATCTACCCTACTAAAGTCAAATATGCTTAACGACAGAAAAACAATGAGATGTATTTTTTAAACCGACTATCATATCCTCATCATCCATAATCAACACTTTCCTATATTTTTTAGATAACCCGAAGTTGACAAAAATGATTTGTTTAGCTAATGGCCGAGTCGCACCTAGTCGATTTCAGTGAAGTGGAGTGCCTATTAAACGGATAATCGATATGGATCAACGTGGTTCTGAAGAAGACGAAAGTCAACCGAATTCTTTGTTTTGCCTTTATCGTGGGTATATGTTTATACTCTATCGGTGCTATGTGGGAAAAGAAGTGATCGATACAAAGCAAAAGCGAGGGCCTCGGCTGATGTGGTGGATAGCACGTGTGCCCCGAAGGGGTTGTCGGGGGTTCGAAGGCCAACCGAGGTTCCAAGTTTTGCTCATATCTTAGCATCCTTGCAGTTGTATCTAATATAGTGCTTTGCTATGAAAAAAAAAATGGGAAATAAGTAAAATTTAAGACAATTTCTCCAGCCCGCAAAAGCGTTAAATTGGGCCATGTGTGCAACATTAACACTGGGCCACATACGGAGTGTAGGAATCAACAAGGAAATCTATGTGTCGTTAGCTCGTGATGGTGAGCTTCTTAATGATAGAATTAAACCAATCAGAGACTACAGTGACTGATCGAAAACTGCTGTCGCTCCTATGCGATGCAAGTTGTGACGGTCTCCGAGGTCATCTTCCATTTGTTTTGTACATTCAAATTTGAATTGATTTTGAATTTTGAACTCTGAAGGATGTTACCGTTAAAAATTAATAATTTTAGGCTTTAGGTGGAAACAGTGAATACTAGTTATTTCACTTATTCCAAGGGCGCGTGTGGAGCAGTGGATGGAGGCGACCTGCAACACGCACGTGTTATTGATAGCCGCGCCCATGGCCCACCAAGCCTTCCATCCCTCCGGGGTCGGCAAATTGGTACCACACTTTTCTGGAAGGATAGCATCACTGGTTCGACACATCGGTAGGCCACCGCGAGTCATTGTAAAGGCCAGATATGCATTCAATCACCACCAAACGATGCTTAATGAAGTTAAATGCATGGCGCATCCCTCAGCGACTGGTCAACGCCGGGGGCTTTATGCTTTTTTATCACTTATTCTCTTACCGATCGGATCCAGTTTTATTGCTAGGTTTATTACGATTAAATCAAAGGAGAAATACAGAAAAAATATAGTAATGGCAACAGAAAGGTCGAACCCAATGAATACATTAGAAATAATAGAAAAAGACAATCTTAGAACAAATTTCCGAACATCGGCACTACAGAGAAATTTCCAGTAAAGCCGAAGACTTGAATATTGGAAGAGAATTAAGACATTCGAAAAATCTTTTTTTGTTTTTTCTACTTCCAATATAAAAAAAAATATTTTAAATTCTGACCATTAGTTCATAGACAGGTGCATCAAGTTAGTGAGAACCTGTTACTGCAACTGATTCCAAAAAGAACGGTAAGCATTGTTTGAAAAAAAAACTTGTTAAACAGTTTTACCCTATACCAATGTGAAGAAAAAAGCGGAAAAACTACAAGGTTCTATTTGACTGGGACAGCGAAAATGTCACAGAAAAGAGAACCTAACGAACGGAACCATGGGCGGCGATCAGATTTGACTCGATGTTCAAATCGAACTCCTACAATGAAAGAACGCTATAGCAAAAAAGCCTTTTTGTATTCTTATTTCACTATGCAGGACCTGCCTTTACATACTGTGCGAATACCTGGGTTTTTTTCGCTTGATTAATTGTCTTCTTCCACCCGTCAACCACGAGATTCTTCGGATTTCCATGTAGTGGTGGCAAAAACAAAAGCTATGGAGATCTACCCACGTTAATTAGACGACGAAGTTCTTGTTATTTCTGAAAAAATGATTCTCCATGACAAATCGTCAATGTTGATCTTGCTGCACAAGTAGGTCATCCCAGGCTTATGTAACGACATGCTGAGCCTGGTATCCTCTCAGTATTTTATCCACCCAGAGTACTTTGGCATATGCACTAACAACTACTCAGCCGTAGTGTCTTACGACCACGTAAATCGTAGCGAACCGCCATAGTACACGTTATCAGTTAAATTATCTCCGAAACGGTTAAACATCTACGATACGTGGTGGTAGTTCCCTTCTTCAAAACTTTTTTAGGCTAACCCTGTAACACAGCAGATCTCGAAGTTTATGCAGACTGCACGTGATCCTGCCAAGAATTGGTTTAGAAATGGGCTGACTAAGCGAAAAACTCGTACCCAGTTCTGGTAAAGAACGCGCACTTTTCGGAAGCACTATGCCTCCTAACACAGTAACTCTGGATGATTTTGGTGCGCCTTCTATCTTAGAGTTGCTACTTAAAACGTGTCCAACGGTGGTATTTTCTTCTGATGTTTTTGGACGTGGCAGATCTTCGTATTTCTTCTTGCTTATTTTTAATATGACACCGAATCTTTTCGCAAGTAGATATAGATCCAGCCACTCTTCTCCTTCAAAGATTCCTTTTCAAATACTGAGCGCAATGAGTTTCTTTGTACATACAGTACTTTAGTTGCGAAAACATTTCCTTGTGTGTGTACCGCAATGAAATGCGTAGTGATTTTATTTCGATGTCCAACGTTTGTTGAGGATTCTCTGGTAAGCCGAACAGTTCGTATAATTTCTTATGTTTCATAAAGTTAAGAATAATTCGATGTTTTAAGCAGCGGCGAAGAAGAGGGGTTTTTTTGTCGCATTGAGACGATTTTTGTCTTAATGACAACGCGTCTCTTCCAAGTCGGAAACGTTTTGCTGGCACATCTCTTAATAACTCAAAAGACCTGCTTTCTATAGAGCTCGGCATTAATAATCGAGTAATAGAGTAGTTATATCTTAACTGCTTTTTTAATCTTCAACTGGATATGACCAATAACAATGTTTTCAGGTCTCCATAAGGTAACCAGTGATAAATCATCTAATGACTAGTAAGGTAAGTAAATTGCAAACTCCGCGAACTAACCCTCCAAGCTAGTTCGCTGGCTCTAATACGCCCGTTCGGCATAGGATCACTGAATTTGTGCTAAAGGTAAAAATGGCAAATTCGTGAATTCCGCTGGAGTAATCCTAATCTGTCGTAAAACATTTTGCGAAGAATGCGGTGGAGATATGAATTGCAAAGAGTGAATTCTCCTAGGCAGGTCCCGTACCAATGCTCCGGTGACGATTAGATGACGGGCTTGGTGGACCGGGGGTGGATTTAGCCTGAACCGTGTTCGTGATGGACGGAATCACTATCACTGCGCTATCCACTCTTCAACTACGGAAAAATGGCGCAACTATAGTTACCGGCAACCAGTGAATTGTCCATTGTCTCATTTCCTCATAATCATGCATAAACTGAGTATTCATTTTCAATATTAATAAAATTGTTTATTGACAAAACACCAAGTATATGTATGTGTATGCCTTATAATATGAAAAGTAACAATGAGTGGAAAAGAACCCATTATGATTCCCAACTGAAAAACCAATGAATTGAAAACACAGCGCATATGTTACGTTTGCAATAAATCGTATAAATTCAACAAAATCGGCTTTCACAACAAGTTAACATAAAGGAAAAATCTGCAGCATCATTCCTTAGAGTAACCTCTCATTAACGATTGCAGCTTATCTCTTAATACCATCCACCTCCCCATCCACGGCCCCATCCACCACCCCATCGACGACCCCATCCACCTCCCCATCGACGGCCCCACCCACCACCCCAAGGGCGGCCCCACCCACCACCCCAAGGGCGACCCCATCCACCACCCCAAGGGCGGCCCCATCCACCACCCCATCCACCGAAACCAAACTGTCGTTTGATGCGCAATGTCGGTTCACTGAAAAAAAAAATTCGTTAAATATAAACAATTGAACTAGTTACGAAAAATTATGGGATATTTCAATGCTTCACCTTTCAGTTACGAAGACCTTACATAATAGAATAGGGTTGGATGGCGGAATGTTGTGACGCTGATCATCGCGAACACGATGCTGGTGCGACCTCATTCCGATCCCACCAGAAAATTGTTATCGGATTTTTTTAGAAGGGTTCACTCCCTGGAAATCAAGTGCGAACGCTCTAGTCTGGCTTCTGAGGACTCCAGAGAGAATCAACTCGACCAGCATTGAATGCGATTGATGAAAGAAGGAAATTCCTCAAGCAGCAGCCAAACACACATGCAAAAGGTGGAGGATCTTCGTAGATGATCGATGTAAGGAAACGTATAGAAAGCAAGGGTGCTGGATGCACACGCTAGATGTGAGAGACGGTTCATACGAAATAAAATAAAGAAAAAATTAGAAAATTTAGACGGGTTCACCTTTCTGCTTGTGCAGCGATACCATCGTTACTGGACGGGATTATCTGAGCCGAAATCACTGCCAACAAACAGAACAACGCATAAACACTTAATAGACGCATTTTGAAGAAACTGAAAAATTGTTGTTCAACATCGATAAATTTCTCGAACACACCAACCACCAATGGAAAATTTACTTCCTCGTTAGGCTAATGTTGGCCGAAAGAGAAATGTTGAATAGAAAGGAGAAGAAAGACGACGAAGAAAATGGATTAAATTCTTTTTCCAGTAAGAACTGGAACTTTTCCTTCAATGAAGCTGAAATATTTAGAAAACTCCGAACCGCAGGTGTCAGCTGTGGGGAACGAACACGCTATTGTCCTTCCCGGGGGTAACGCGTTCACCACCACACCATGCGGGTCCTTCGTTTCACCTATCTCTCAGCTAGTTCTATCGATCTTTTGCCATCATCAATCATCCGTCAGCGGGATTGATATGGGTAGCCCACATCGGCAACGAACCCAGTTAATCTGAGGCTGCAGTTATAAACACAAATTTAACTTATTATTTATTGCCTACACTTTTTAATGGCTACGGTTTTAATACACGCTATTGTTAGCAAGAGTAGGTAGTAAATAATAGGTTAAAATTGAAAATTTTCCATCCAAGCCGAAATTTTAACGGTGTTGAAGTGGGTGCAAAATTATGTAAGTGATGAAAATGCTAGGATGATAAAGAAATAGTTCATTAACCAAGAAAAAAAAGCTGATAGGTGGGCTCTTAAAGTGCTTATGTCGAAACTTTTTCTGAAAGAACAGTGCCATAGAATTCCTTTGTGTAAAAGATATTCTCGGCAATTACACAATCAAATATCTGTTTACTTGTGAAAAGCGCTTACAGTGGCGAAACTTCACATTTCCAATCCACAATGTGTTTCAAAGTAATAAGAAAAACTACCAGAATAGATAGGTGTCTAACCCTAGAGTGCATTGTCTCCGGATTTTCTTAGTATAAATAGCATGTTGGTTGCTGGTGATGATAGTTTTCAGCACCGCCCACTTCGTTTTTACACTACTTTCTCGAAAGACTTATGCAACTTGATAAAAACCCATTTTTTCAGCACTCTATCTTTGCACTATGAGAGGAGACTTCCTAAAAATTTCTTTTTTAAGAAAACTGCTTTTATGTTTGGAACGTAAATTTTCAACCTCAAATCAAATATCGGTTACATTTTCAACACCTCGATGCTGCGGTGTGTCTTTGGGATGTTAGGAAGCGTCTATTCATGATCAAAAGGCGAAGTCTTGCTTGTTTTTTAGGTTGGAAGTGAATTTGGGGATTGAGAAGCTATCGCATCAATTTGATATAAATCCTTCGTATCCACAAAATCATGGTCATGCAATCGTGAGCAGATGGGACTGCGCACTGGCCTACTCTATCCTCTATATCGACGCAGTGGTTAAAACTTCTTTAACATAAGACACAGTCGTTAATGTACCTTAACGGCGCTTAGTTGCAAAACTCCGGACAGCAAGTGTGTGGGGTGGGGATCGAACACAATATTGCCTCTTCCGCACGCGTTCAGCACCACGCCGTTCGGGCCCTTCATTATTTCATTGATAAACTAAGACGAGGTTGTTGCTAAACGTTTATTCGGGTAACATTTTGACGCATTCGCCTTCTTCAGAGTCGGTGATGCAAATCGATGGTCCATTAGGCTATCATTGAAATAAGGTGCATTGCTCATTTATATCAAAGATAAATGAAACTTGGTTTTCAACGCTATGGCCTTACTCTACAGTTGTTAGTTCCATACCATCTTAAGGGTTAACCAGGCTTTCCTGGTTGGGAGGAAAACTGACTTGGCGATATGGATAAAAAATAGGACTTGACGCATAGGTAATGTCTTTGCAACTTATGGCACGGATCAAACATGCTAGTGGGCACATGACACATTTCTAGAGGATTGATCAATATTCAATAACTCATCTTTCACGTAGTGTCGAGCATGTTGGAAGTCAGATCAGAAGTGCATGTAAAGCATTTTAGGAATAACTTATGCTAAAGATCCGTTAGCGAATAGTCTCTACTTGGATGCTTGTATGGCCCATCTTCACCAGATGTGCGGGCTCCAGCATTATTTCCGCTTTTTCGGAGTTCTGCAGGTCTAACCATTGTGATTCTCTGGAGTCCCTTAGTCAGCCTGACCAAAGTCTGCCCTAAGTCTTTACGACCACAGGCATTCGCAGCTCTTGCGGATCAGAGGGAGATTTGCCATCGTGCGACTTGTTTGATATCAGGACGGTGGTTGATCCTGGTATTGGTTCCACCCAACGGTTTACCGCCTCATCGTATCTGAAAAATGTTCCGAGGTGTCGGGCTGCGATGTACAGTGGGGGATTTGTTCCCCAGCAGGGTCTTCCAAACTGGGGAGTTCGGCGTTTCTATCATGAAGCCTAGCTAAGAGTAAACCGATTCCTGGATCCACCGCATTCTCTACTACTGGGTATATATACGAGCCCCAATTATACCACCACCCATTCGTTGGTCGGAATCCTTCACGAAGATTTTAAAACAAAATGATAGTGCTAAGAGATTTCTTAGAGCAGCTTGAAATTCGTCAGGCTATTTTACACGCAACGAGCACAATTTCAGAATTTCTTTCGATGTACTCGACGATCAGCGGAGATTAGTCTGATAAAAGCGGTGTCTTATTAATCAGTCTTCTACGTTTTAAAAATATTTCAGGCGTTTTTAGAGTGAGAGGCCTGAGGGATCAGGGTGAATAAGTTCTGTGTCGCTTCACCCAACAAGCATTTCTTATTTGTAAGTATTTCCTATCTTCCTATACCAGATTCTTGTAAGGTATCTACGGGTATTTTTTCGAAAGAGGAAAATCATAAAAAATAAATAGTTCTGGACAATATCTGGAATGCTTCCGAGACTCCTTGGTGTGCAGAACCAGCTGCGAACGATAGAAGGGGAAGGAAATTTTACTGGAACCTGCGCGAGTTATCTGTTCACAAACAAGATTGCAGGTGGTCCAGGTTATATTTCTATAGAAGTGTCTTAAGTTTTTTCCACAAATTTGAGAAATGGAACACTTCCAATACTATTCACAATACAGCCTACTGTTTTCGGCGAAAAGTGTTTTCTCAGATCTTAAGAATTTCATCTTAGATGTATTTTACCTAAAACACGCGTTCATTGCGTTCTGTTTTAGCACATTTACAACAAAATCTGCTTGTATAAGTAAGCATGGTATCTTATTTATACGCAAAGGATATAATGGAGCTTTGACAGCAAATACATCGAGGTGGCGGGTTATTAAACGAACTGGAGTTTCATACTCCTGATGAACTATTGAATGGAAATATTGAATGACGACTAAGAGAAGAGGTTGTAATTTCGTGAGATGAGGACCACCACTCAGATGACCATCACCTGGTCCACCTATCTTTTTTTACTAAAGAGATGGGTTTTCAAGTATTCTCCACCATAGAGGTGGCAAAAGATTCTGTTCTTTGTAAATGGCTTGTTATTGTATTTTCATGGATGTTTTCGCGTTACAAAGGTTTGGCCAGAAAATGGCTTTTCCTAAGATCTTGAAAGCGCTAAGAGAGACAAAACGTTGACGATGATCCCATCCTTCAAATATGTATATGCAGTGCATTCCATTCCATTCACAGCACTGTAGCCACAGTTGAATGCAAATTTGGACTTTGCGACGATTTTTCGTGGTCTACCGATAAGCCGACTGGATGTTTCTGTTCTCCTACGCAAGTTTGGTATCATTTCGAAAACGATAGAGTGCTTGATTGTTCCGAGACACTGGATCGAACCAACATCTACGCGCATACTCTAGAGTATCTCTAACCACTGCGCTGTACAAGATCGAAAATTTAAGGTAATTTAGAAAATCAATAGAGGATTTTTGAGAAGCTAATAAACTACTCGACATCTTCTTCTACAGGCATACGAAATATAATGAACGTTTGTGGCACTCTTATTTAAGAAGAACGATTAAGAGGGTCTGGAATAGAATTCTATGGTGGTCTTTGAGTCTGACAAGAAATATAGTTGAAGTTCATAACGCCGCGTGATGATGGTGAACTGGTGAATGCTCAGAAAAGAAATGTTTTTTCTGCCTTAAATAGTTAGGGCAATTTGTGCCCATTATTACCACCACAGTTCTTCTTTATCAAATAAAGTTTATTTGACGAATACGATCTCCTCCCATCTGATGCAACCCGTGAATTTCTTTATCAATGTGGTTAAAATTAGATTCTCTACTAGCGGTTGACTACGTAATCAGGTCACATGGTTGCGCTGTTGCAATCGTTCTGTGAATTAGTTCTTCAGAGTAGAATTTGGAGTTACCGAACCGGAATTTTGAACTATCGGATGACTTCGGTTATTTCAAGGCATGAACCTAGGAAAATTCAAGACTATTGAAGATCCCTGAGTCTTAAGGTTTCTTAGGCCATCAAAAAACATGTAAACATCCAAAAATATCCAAAGAACACAAGACGGAGAGTGAAATAGTAGTATAAGTTTTCAAAATTTGTACAATTTGGTTACACTTAGTGCTTTTCTTGCATGTTTTTACAATTTATCACTCAGCCATCAACACTGATTATTAGCTGAAACCACTATTTGGCAAACAGAGTGGCTGAATCGAACGAAAACTTTTACGTAGAACAAGGATTTTCTTTTACTGCCTATTACCATTTCTCACAGCAGGATACGATGTGTGATGCAACCACAGTGGCAATGAGATATTTGCAAAACTCCGGACCGCAGGTGTCTGCGGTAGGGAACGAGCGCGCTATTACCTTTTCCGAGGGTGAACTCATTCACCACCACACCATGCGGGTCCTTCGTTTATCCTGTCTCTCAACAGAAATTTTTTGCACTTTTCAGCATAAAAAAGGAAAGGTTCGCAACTAGAAATATGATATTTCATGGTGATGTAGAGGCCTTCATTCAGTAGTACAATCTGGGTGATCAAGGCAAGGAACAGTACCAGTATTCAGAGCCTGGAAAGATCAAGATGGCTGCAATCCACCAAACCAAAGGCCTTCTCAACCAAAACGAAGGAAACGTTAAACCAAAACTTTTATAGCACTTAAAACCAAATTGCTTTTTAACACTTTAAAACCGCTTTCTATGAGTATTCTACTCAGTGTTTTAAGTGGAGACGAACCGGACAGGGTTCACATTGGTGGTTAATATATGCTCTCATATTAAAATTAATTACTTTCATGTGAACTCCATGTACTTGATCAACGCATGAAATACTTAGTAGAGAGAACACACTTGGACCGGTGAGTGTGCGAAGAAGTTATTCTGTGTTCAACGTGATTGAAGCCTTGGTTTAGGGTTCTATCGGTTTGATTATTGATGTGTTTTACTGGGTAGATTGCGGTTAACATGTCTTTTACAGGCACTGAAGAAGACTAAATTTGCCGAAATATCAGTTTTCTCGTCAATAAAGGATAACGTAACGTTTTGGCATCGCTAATCGAGAATATAATGGATTATTTGTCTAATGTTAATAAGAAGCTACTCCTGGGAATGATCTCCGACAGCATCTAGGCAACGAACCACTCTCCAATTCGATGCTTCGAATTTGTCCCACCTTTTGCAAACAAAGGGATTTTTTCCTAGCGGCTTTCTGTTTTGGCTTGACTGTTTACAACTGTTTAGTCATTTGCTACAAAATTCCTAATTAGTTTTCTAACGCTTGGCATCGAGTACTAATACCAGAGTCTTTCCGCTCCATTACTCACCTCTCCTCTTAGTTCTGCTTCAAACACTGTTTTAGGAAAATATCCTTTATTCATTTCTGGGAATATCGCCGCAAGCGAACGTTTCATCAGAAGGGAACAAATTCCACCGAAAATCAAGAAGCACAGTGCCTGCACGTTCTACTAATTATTCGTTTGGAGCAAAACCGTTTCGCACAACAAAGTATGCGTTCACCTTTTTCTGGTGCTAATTGAAAACCACGATGGGATAGACTATGGAACTACACCTGAGAAGCTTTCTTACTTGTTAAACTAATGAATAAGACATAATCACTTTTTTAAATGCTTGAAGAAAACCCTCCAGTGCAGAACATGCACTAATCATGAGACAATCTAAGAACCTTTCAACGATATCGCCGTCGGACTTATTGGCGTAAACTGATCCGAAAAACTCCTTTCGTGAGAGCACATTCTTCAATCACAAAACTGTCGAAATGGCCTTCAAATTGTTTATCGTATCCGACAGTCGACACATTTATGTGGCTTGGGCATCTCGTAATTGCACTGGGATGTGATTATAACATCTCTGACACGGCGATGTCATTTCGATCATTTCGACGAATTCCGTTCTTGTAGGAATTAAGGAGCGAATGGAAAAAGAAAACAAGCCTAAGTTGCACTCGTAAAGTTTTTTTTTCTGTTTTTTAGTTAATTAAACTGACGTACCCTAGATTTGGCACATGGAACTAACCACACTGCCGACCGACACGTAGGCCTTGACATACTAATTTTACGCCGACTTGTAGAAAGATGGTGATGAGACAATGATACTTACAATAAGTAATCGTAGATATATGATCGGTATGTTTTCGTTGACATCGACGGAAACATGCGTAGGTGGTCATTACGAGGAACATATTCAACAGCTGTAATTACGGGGACTACCTGTAAGCGAACATCGTCCAACTGAATTTCGTAAGGGGTCCCACTCTACTTGATTTGATTCAATGCGACTAACACCTGGCACTTCAGAAAGATTAACTTCTTTAAACTCGCAGCTGAAAAAGACAGTAGCTACAGTAAGGTTTTGTTTCAACATCGGCCAACGGCTTTTCAATAAATGAACATGTGTGCCATTCATGAAGAG